TCTGATAGTTGTACAATCTTCACTGGGTCTAGGGATTCCTGGAAAACCAGACACAAATAAGAGACAACACTCAGTTTCTTAAGATCATCACACTACCATTTATTGGGGAATGATAATTGTGACAGGAGGAAGAGGAAAGAGCTTAGTTACAGACACTCTGTCTCTGAAATAGGTTAGTCAAAAGAAAACAATATTATATGAAATAGATTCCCAAGAATATGTTTTTGGATACAAAAATTCAGTTATCAATAAGTAGCATTCAAAATTAGTTGTAGCTGTACAATTATAAAAAACTGATTCATGTTGTAACAAAGTTTTCTAAAAGCTCATCGTGTTAGAACAGGCATGTAGCAGTGTTCTGAGGCATACAAATTCACCAAAGGTTTTTAGGTTGTTTTTTTTTTGGTGGTGCTGGGAGTTGAACCAGTGTCTGGCGCAGGCAAGTGCTCTACCACTGCGCCACACTGAGCCTTCACCATAGGCATCTGAACACCCTCCGTCCCAACTTCACATCCAGAATTTACACAAACAACAAAAGATCAGAGTTCAGAGGGTTTTTTTCTTTTTCCTTTCCTTATTCAAGGCTGCTAAGTAAGTCAAGCAAATACATAGAAAAAGGCAAAATGAATACTTTTCATAGCAGAAAGATCCCAAAGTCCAATGTAAACTCATTTCCTGTTGTAGCAGGACCCTCGACAGGCAGAGCAAACTGGCCCAGCGCCAGCCTCCATTTGCCCTCTAAAGACCTCACAGAGATGCTCTGCCCGGACACCCGGCCTGTTGACATTGGGGACCATTTGTGCTTTTGCTGCTGCTGTTTTGGCTCTGTGGCTGCTTATCAAACGCAGTGCTGTCATGTTGGGAACACACACATCCTCACTGTCGCGCTGTGTGCACTGACCCCATTCCCCAGCACAGCTGCTGCTGTGCACCGGCTGCTTCCCTGGTTGCCCATCGGCCTGTCTATAGAAAGCAGCTTTGAAGACTGGGGTCACTACCAGCTCCTGCTGGAAAGGCTGCCGGCCCTCACCTGACTGCCACAGAACCCGACTAACCAGGGTCTCGCTCCAGGTCAGGCTGGGAGGGCTGCAGAGCATCATCCCCGCGTCCAGAAATACCCAAGTGCAACTGACCGTCCTGAGTGGACCCAGGTCACATGAATCCCCTGCACTTTCCTCTTCACCAGACCAAAAACATTGGGTTCCAGGACTGCACAGAATTCCGAGTTGGAAAGTACCTTGATGGATGGCCTCCGAACCAACCTGTCCAGCAAAACTCTAGACCTCTAGGTTGTTTGGTGTTGGCGGGGGGCAGGTTTCAGGGGTTAAACAAACAGATCTGTATTTAATTTGAGTTGAGGGACAATTTGCTTTTTAAAAAATACTATCTGTAAACTCTTGCATGTGTCAAAATTACAAAAAATAAATATCTTAGATGTGTAAATTTTTAAAACTATGCCAAAAGCTCTAGTAAATGGTTTCGTGTACCTTTGAACAGTTGAATATTTTTTTTTTTATGTGCTCAAATGAGGTTTTAGATTATGTTGTAAATCAAGTGTCTGTTATGACCCACAGGTGACTCTGGTCAGACGTCATCTGAGAGACAGGGAGGCCTGGCGCAGGCTGCCCCACGGGAACGGGAGCCCACGGCCTCAGGGCCTTGCTCTAGCTCTTCTCGGACACTGTGGCTCCTGCCCTGTTCACAGGGCCATCAGAAGCGGACGCCACACTGGCCAACCCCACACCTTTCTCAAGGTGAGGCCCACTTCCTAATTTTTCTTTCTGTGGAAGAATCAAAAGGTAATTCCATTGTTTCCGGCTCCCTTGGCATACAGTGATTGGCAGAGGGAAGCGGCACACGGGCAGATGAGCCACGAGTCACCGTAGAGTGTGCTGGGTCGAACTCCAGCACTGAGAGATCACCCAGGGAACACGCCGCGTCGGCTCAGCAGCCACGMAGAGGAGGAGAACCAAGGCTCCGGCCCCTCCTGCGAGACAGAGGCGGGAGCAGGGACTTGTGCCTCCCTTGCCTGGCAGCCTCAGAGCCTGGAGCAGGAGACGGGGCCTAGGGCACTTGGTCTGCAGGGCAGAGCCCCTCCCCGTGCAGCGCTCACAGAGCTGTGGCCCAGCCAAGGGAGCCTCTGCCAGGACTCTCACACGTGGGGAGCAAGCATGGCCACCACAGGAGAACCACCGGGATGGCCCCCCACTCCTCAAATGCAGCGGTGCCTCCTCCGCCCAGCAGTGAAGGGGGCAGGGACCAGAGCAGGGAGCAAATAAGTCCACGACGAGCCTCAGGCTACAACCCTCYGTGAACCTCCGCCTCGCCCGCTGGGCTGTGTCAACCCACGAGGGGCTTGGTACAGATGGCAGCAGAGGGGAAGTGGGTTCCTTCCCCCAAACAAAAGMAAACAAACAAGGAGGCACCGCAGGAAAAGTGGGGGGTGAGTCTCAGGTCCAGGAGGCAGCAYGTCCAAAAGCTGCTCAGCGCTCTCATGGGGCTGTCTGGGCAAACCAGCCACGGCCATGGCGGTTAGAGAGAAGCCTGGCTCCTGCCAGGCCTCGGCCCAGGACCTGCCCTGGTGCCCCTGCCGGTGGGAGGTGGGAGGTGGGACTGTCCCCGGAGCTGCTGCTTCTCTGTCATCATGGGAACAACAGCAACAGCCACTGTGCACATCAGTGAGAGGACACACAGTACCAAGTGACAGTCAGATAAGCTCATGGCCACATGCACACCCTGCCACTACCAGGGTCACCAGTATTCATTCCTCAGATTCAACAGTGACACCTGCCCTTCACAGAGGGGGCTCGACCCAGCTGGGCCCTGCCACACCTCCCTCCAGCATCCTGTAATGCGCAGCAGGAAGCATAGTCCTGGCCCTGTGTACACAGAGACAGAGAAGGACACCATACACAACCCGGTCAACAGCACACTCGTCTGTGACTAGCCCAGCTCACACCAGACCCCTGTGACTTCTAAGCTGCATCCACTGCCACTGTGCTAGACAGCCGGGTGACACCTTGAAAGGCATCTCAGAAAGGGCAAGGAGGGGTCCTCACTCCAGCCCACTGAGGCCAACCCCATATCTCACATCACCTATAAGGACCCCGACCTCCCCATGTCCTTCTTCATGTCTCCCAGAAGAACTGGGACATGAATACACCCCAAAAAAGCCAGAGGGTAGCACGTGTCTCCCCTCCTGGCTCCGGGCAGGTGGAGGACAGCAGTGCCTTCGGCAGTCTGGGAAGGGCCTGCAAGATGGCCTGCGTCTGCCGTCAGCCCTGCTCTGACCTCTCCAGCCACAGGCAGAAGCCAGGCAGCCTGAGCTCACTGCCCCAAGCAACAGCCAGCCAGTGGCCACTGCCTTTGGTGTGGAGGTGCTGGAGCACAGAGAGCCTTCATCTGAGGGTGGGCCTGCAGGTCCTGGGGTGCCAGGGACTCCGGCTGATCAAGACAGGCCCTGCTGATGGTCAGGTGGCACAGAGCAGCTGAGAGGGTACACCAGGGACCAGCAAACACCCTAGAGACCCAGGAGGAGACAGTCACAAAGGACAGGGTATGGCAGGCAGGAGACGGCACCGGTGGCATAAGACACTGGAGCCAGGGAACAGGAGCCAGGCTGAAGAAGGCAGGGCGAGTCCTAGGAGGTCGGGGAGGTGGAGGCTGGTCCAGCTTCCCAGCTGCACAGGGGAGACAGGCCTGCTGCTCACAAGCCCCTTGAGAGGACCAGAAAGCCCACAAACATGGAAGCACACTGCACGTGGCTGGGTGTGAGCCAAGGCCTGATCCTCCCAGTGCCCCAGCACTGCTGTGCGCCAATGCAGGGACGGCGTGAGGGTGGCTGGGCAGGCATGCCGGCCTCCTGCCCTCCCAGCAGGAATCTTCATCTCACCCGCTCTGCCCCGGCCCCACTGTAGGGGCGGACAGAAAATAAAATCAACTTATGCTAGGAGCCACAGCAAAAATATTGATACAGGCACCTTTGGATTTAGTGACTGCCAGCCAGCCATTCAGATTATGATTATGTTAAGTTACATTCATATGGTAATTGGACTCCTGCTGTTWACCTGGGCCCGTTTBRGGACTCAGGTTACTCATGTCACTCTTGTAATGGGAGAGTTCCCATTGGTTGGGAAAGGATGGTAGGAGGGTGTTCCGGGGGAAGTGGAGGCCCCCCCCCCCTCGCTCAGGTAGAACACACGTGGTGGACCCACTTGTTAGGGGACGCACACGGCCTCTCACAAAATAAAACTTTGTCTCAGTTTGACTGGCTTGTGTTTTTGTGCCCAACCGGGTTGCAAGATTGCAAGCCAGCGTGCACTGACAGCCCAGCAGGGAAGCGCTCAGCAGGGGTGCGGCAGGCAGTACAGCTGCAGGAGCGGAGCTCAGCCAGCTCGCTCGACCCGGGGCCAAGCAGCCTGCAGCAAACTTAAAAGCAAACACCTAGGAATAACTAAGAAAAAATACAGCASGAAGCAGCCAGCCCCCGTCCACAGGACGCGGCAGGTCTGTACTGMTGCTGGTCTCCCTCCACCTGGTGCTAGGAAGTCGTGAGGACARAAGCGAGCTGGGGGACAGGGGACCCCGGAGACGAGGAGTCTGCGCCAGACRCAGGAGAAGTCGTTCCACAGCCTGGTGCTGCACAACAGCAGGAGTGCCCAGGTCCRGGAGGCAGCAGCGCGTCTCGCCAGAAGGGGCCCCACTCCCCTCCAGGGCCAGGCTGGCCAGGACCCAGGGAGCACAGAACACCCTCCTGGGTTCCCAGGGCAGAAGCCAGTCCACGCTGGGGAGGCAGCAGCACCAGGGCCCGGGAGGAGGGACAAGTCTGCAAAGGCCTCGTGGGCCCCGCCATTCTGTCCCGGCCTCCCCCCGAGGCCTCCCCCCCGGCTCATCTGCTGACGTTTAACCAGGTTTTTTTATTTAGGGGAATTCAGTGGGTCAGCATCCAAAGAGGATCAGGTGTGAGAGGAAGACCCGGCTGCCCGAGGTGCAGAACCCACCTCTGACTCTGTGCTGCAGCTTCGGGGTGGGAGCATGACCGCTTCCAAAGGCAAACCCTCAAAGGTTGAGACTGCGGGATGAAGGCACGTGTCTCACAGACACAGGTTTGGGGGCTATTTACAAAGATGTCCACCAGCGTCCACGCCCAGTGCCTTCCAGAGCTCTGCAGACCTGGCAGCGTATCATGCAAGACACACGGCAAAACACTTCTTCACAGCATCCCTAGGAAGGAAAGAACACAAAGGTGAATGGGACATCACTACCCCTAGGCGCCTGTCCTTGAGAGTCTCCTAGGCCCAGAGTGTCCGAGAGGCACGCTGGACCGGGCAGCCCTACTGGCAGCCCACCACAGCTCAACATTCACTGGAAGGACTCTGCTGGGCAAGTGACTAGTCCTGCTGGAGTTYCAATTCCTCATCCGTCAGAGGGGATCAGCCCACTTTCCCTGCTCCCTTCTGTGGACATCAGGGCACTGCACAGAATGGGCATTTGGTAAATGACAGCTGTCACTGTAATCAGAGCAACACAGGCAGGTGGAAAGTGCAGACTGTCGGAACCAAAGCGGTTTAATCAGCTGCAATCACAGAATGCACCAAAAACAAGTCAATCGCCGGGGCCCCGCTTCCTTCCAAGCAGCAGCAGCGCCCTTTCGAGGGACACCTCTGAGGAGCAGCCTCACACAGGCACCAAGCACCTGCCAGCAGGCTCGCCTCCTTGGAATTCGATGCAGAAAGCACGAGGAAAGAGCAGTACTCAGATGACTAGTCTGCCCAGCAAGCTCTCGGCACCCAGCACACCTCGCTGCACGCGTCACACCGGGTCCTCGTCCCCACCTGCACCACGCACACCTGCACACCGTCATGTGAGGCAGAGAGGTGAGGGGGGCACTGTGTGTCAACACGGCAGTGACTGTGGGCAGYACTTCCTAAGACACATTCCACTGAAGTCCCAGAAGGTCATGGGACCCCTCACGCAGCTCACAGGCAAACAAGGGCTCTGGAAGGCTGGACAACGCCAGCGATCTCCCAATTACAAGGTCAGGGAACCCTTCTCTTCCAGGTAAACAGCACTTTCTGAGGAGCACTGGGTAGAGGCTACACAGGCGGGTGACACCCAGCCTCGTGATTCTCCTCGACACTGGGGGGCTTCATCTGCTCCGCGCAGGAAGCTCACCGCTGCCAACAGAATGCCCTCGTGCTGCCTACCCCTCACGCAGAAGGCCCACAGGTGCCCATCTAGGCCAAGTGGGAAGGCCCCAGAAAGACACCGAGCAAGGCAGCTTCACGGTGAGACCTGCACAACTGGGCCCTGAACCAGGAGAGTCCAGTCTCGTGGGTGCCCTCTTGTCACCTGGTGACATCCTTAATCGCGTCTGAGTTAGGCGCCCAAGCCTTCATTCCGCACTGGGGTCTGCCAACAAGGGAGCTGCTCCCGGCCCCAGGTGGACACGGCTTGGACGCTCAGACCTGGTGGGCTCTGGCCATCTCCACTACAGACCTAGCACCCAGGGCATCCCTGCCCACACTCATCAGACAAGCCATGGCCCCCCAAAACTGCAAAGTCGCCTGGAGCATCTCACCACCATTATGCTCCTGGGTTCTATGTGCCAAGTCCCCAGCTGCTCTAGCTCGATGGGCTTGTCAGTGCCTCATCCAATGGTCACGCCCCAGCTCCTCCACACCACTGTCCGCAAAAGACCTGGGACGCGGGAGGTGCCATGCTGCCCTGCCTCCTTCCCAGCTCACCCAGGACACGAGCAGGGAGAAGGTGGCCTTCGGTGAGCAGGTAATGACGGAGGAGAATGGAAATCAGTGGCTGCATTAGAACAGTTGGAGGCAAAGATCCCAAAGGCCAGTCTTGAGAGGCCCCATAGAAAGGGCTTGTTCAAGGCGCTGGGGCTCAGGGGAACCTCCAGGCCAGAAGGGCCTCTGGGGACCACCAGCCCAGCCACGCTGGTTATCAAGGCACTACTAGCTAGAAGGCCTGGTCCTCTGGTCCTACCTCTGCTCACGCTCTCCCTTCATCAACTCCTTGGAAACTCTCTCATAAGTGGGACACCACAAGGAAACAGCGCAATTCCAGGCCCCACCTCCCGCCCAGGGATTTAAATCAGTGTTCACCTTTAACAAAACAGAACTATACCCAAAGGACAGCATACTACAGGGACACAGCCACATCAATGTTTATAGCAGCACAATTCACAACAGCTAAACTGTGCAGCCAACCTAGACACCCCTAGAAAACCAACCTAGAAAACGTGGCACATCTACACAATGGAATATTATTCAGCAATAAAAGAGAACAAAATCATGGCATTTGCAGGTAAATGGATGGAGTTGGAGAAGACAGTGCTAAGTGAAGTTAGCCAATCCCCCAAAACAAATGCCAAATGTTTTCTCTGATATAAAGAGGCTGACTCATAGTGGGGTAGGGAGCAGGACCAAGGGAGGAATAGGCAAACTCTAGATAAGGCAGAGGCGTGGGAGGGGAAGGGAGGGGAAGGGAGGAGGCATGGGTTATTAATGATGGTGGAATGTGATGGACATTATAATCCAAAGTGAATGTATAAAGACACAAATTGGTGTGAATACACTGTGTATACAACCAGAAATATGAAAAATGTGCTCTATATGTGTAGTGTGAATTGTAATGCATTCCGTGTCATATATATAATAAATAAACAAACAAAAGAGCCTACTCAAAGCTACAGGTTAAAAGGGTGATAACATATACACACACATTTCATATTACAGTGGGAAGCTCACCCAACCAGCGGCCGGCGGGCTGGGAGCACCTCATTGGGGTATAATTGGGGTGGGTGGAGGGTGGCCCTGACTTGCTAATCTATGAAACAGATATAAGCCTTTGCCTATTTGGCTCAAAGRATTTTAATAAAGTTAAATAAAATAGCATGTACTCTCTGTAATTAATCTTTTAAGGCCCTACACAAACATATCATTGTTCACAAATGACAGACGTTACATTTCCAAATACACCATTAGTCTTACCTTGCAAATGGTATGAAGGAAAGGCTGTACCTGCAACGGAGAGCAAAGGTCAGGAGACAAAGGTCAGACGGAATGCACARTGCTCCCGAGTGCCAGGAGCACCAACATGCCCTCCCCAGACCGCTCCACCCGTGGCCCGGGAGAGAACACACATGCACGTGTGCACACACACCCAGCCAGAACTGGGGCCACAGAAGGGGGCAGAAGACCCTGTGGAGATGAGCCCTCCGACCTCAGCCTCACTGGGGTCTACTTTAACCAAATGAGCCAGCAGTGAGCACCTCAAAGACACAGATTCCAGACACCCAGGTGGCACAGACGCCCTGTTCTAGAAGAACTTCAGAAAACATCCACAACAGCTATCCTCTAAAATTTTATAAACCCTCAAAAGAATGTTAACTTTGACCCAACTGAGACAGACTGGTGTTCTCCTATAATTAAAAAGAAACAGGAAAGAACAAAGTAAAGAGCCCCCTACTCCCTGGATGAGCATGCCTCAGGCTATGATTGTTCAAGTCCCACGTCATCTTGGCAGGGCCAGTTAGCCCGGCCACAGCAGGGAAGGGAGCCGCGMAGAAGGCTGAGCAGCCCTACACGACCAGGTGTGCGTGTCGGGTCACGTCATTCACTGAGCCATGTGACTGCTGCCCTTGGAAGGTGACTTCACAAGCAAAAGTCCAAGGCAAAAGGAATGTGTGTACATGGCTACCGGTTTCTGCACCCAGAATAAAACCAAAATGTAAACATGAGCCACCAAACCAGGCCCTTCAGCACCCACGAGCCAAAAGTGTCACATTAAAATCAGATGGCACTCTGCTGCATGCCTCGCCCTGTCCATGCACATGAGCACGATTATTCATGAACACGGTGCTTCCAAAGGCAGTGGGAAGCATAGTTATTCAGCAGTCCACATCACAGAAGGGGGACGGGGGCTGGGTTCAGTCTCCAGGCCCATTTCTACCGAGTGGTTCACTGATCGTGGGGAACTGTAAGACACCCAGGGTCCTCTCTCTGCCATTCACTACAGTGAACATTTCTTCCCAAGAGATCAGCTACCTACAGTGAACCCGACATGCAGATTTCATCCCTGAATGCATCCCAGGAGCATCTCGGGACTACAGAGCCCACCCGGGCCGCCTCCCCTCACTCTGACGCACAGTGTGTGGGGTGGGAGGAGCCGGGAACCCACAGCGCCTCTCGTGGTTTTAAACCACGCCTCCAGTCGCCCTTCTACTGTGCTCGGCCCTTGGTACATCTCCCAGTCTTCAACTGAACTTCCAAAAGCGGCAGGCCCCAGGGCCTACACTGACCCTGCCGCCCACAGCCACCCGGTTTTCCATTTCGTCAGCCGCTGCTCCTCGGCTCCCGCTGACAATTCCCTCTTTGTCCTTGTGTACATGATTCATTCCATCACAAGTGTGTCACTTACTCATTCTCTCACCACTTTCCTTTTCTTCTATTTGACTCAGAGCCTCTTGTGACCAGCCCTCAGATACTTTCATTGTCCTTGTACTTAGGGGACATGAGTGGCTTAATAACATTTGTACATCACAATCAGCCCAGAGCTCAGCGGACAGCCTCCGGCCACTCGGGACCTCTGCCGCCATCTACTGGCGGTGGGCGGGCGGGGGGCTTCTGCTCTGGAGCCCAGGCCTCACTGAGAATTCTTCCTTCTGCACTCCCAGCCTCCCCCAACACGTGGCCTCGCCTCCWGGAGCAGCATCAGTCAGGGGTCTGCGTGGGAGAGCACTGCTAAAAGGTTACTCACCACGTCAAGGACAAGGACTGCAGGATGCAGAAGATGAGCGCCAGTCCCTTGTTGTGCCACTGAAAGGAAAACAAGAAGGTCACAGAGAAGCACGAGGCGGGGTGAAAGCCAAGGGGCTCCGGGAAGTCCAGGCCACACTTACCCAAAAGGCAGAACACAGGGTGAGGGCGAAGCACAGCTGCAAGGAGAGAGAGACACCGTGATCAAGACCAGGACCCACGGCCAGAGAAACCCCGTGAAGACGGGGCTCCTGACCAGCCCCAGCAGGAGTCAGGCCACGGGCATCACGGCCACCACACACACCCCTCACCTCAAAGCACTCAACCTGCTGAGCATCCACCCCTGGCATAGTTAGACCCCGGAAACCAAGTCTCCCAGCAAGATCTGCACAGGTCACAAAGAGAAAGATGCTCGGACACGTGGACGTCTCCCCGGGATCTGCCCCCAGCACACAAAAGTCACATTCTGGCCCATGCACGCACCATCGTCTGCTCCCCAAACACCCTGAGTGCGCTTCACAGAAAGACTCTATTCTAACTCTTCCCCAAGTCGTCCGTCCCTGGAGCAGAAAGGGCGCGATAACAAAGGTCATCAGGAGATGTCCATCGCATCAGCAAGCCAGCTCCCTTGTACATGTCACCTGACACTCTCCCTAGTACCTTAGAGAGCTCTTTCCATAGAGGCTGAGCCACCAGCCACGGCTTTCACCTCACATCTGTGACAAGGTGCCCTAACCACGTTCTGTGTCCAGCAATGTGCCTGGTGCCCTGAAGGGACCAAAYAGCAAATGCATCCCTGGCCTCAGAGCACTTACCTATTTGAATAAGTGAAATGCATACAAATGAAACTAAAAATAAAAGTCTGTCGATCAAGGTCCTAATGTGGCCAGAGAGYAGGTCTGGGGTGATTTTTGTCAGCCACATAGAAAACTAGATCCAAGAGAGAGGAATTCCAGGTGGAGGGGACAGGAAGCAATGACAAACTGCAGGCAGCTCTGCCAGAGCAGGGCACAAGGACGACAGGCCACAGACAGCCCACTTCACTTCAGGAAGCCTGATGGGAACAGTATGTATGACGCCAAAGTCAGACACCGTCCTAGAAGACGTCACCACCCATGGTAGGTGCTGTGCAGCCACTCCCTAAGGCTCTGCCTGTGGGGTTCTGACAGCCCAAGGGAGGGGCCAGTGTGACAAGCAGCACCCTCTACAGGTGYTTTGTGGAACTGCAGTACCTAGACGCCAACTGATGCACGCGGGGAAGCGGGCCTGGCACTCACTAGAAGATGAAGACCACCTGCCTGCGGTGTGGTTACAGGACTGCGTAGTGTTAAGTTGGAGGAGGGCAGGGGGCAGTGGAGGGGTCCTCAGGTGTAAGAAGAAAACTATTCCATGCCGCCAAAATAAAGATGCCCACATGAGAAGTCCAGCAAAATCGCAGCACTTACCAGCACCAGGATGGTCGCAATGAGACGCGTTGGCTCGAACATGCGCTTCAGCTGCTTCAGGGGCCCCATGAGGAAGATGGTACTAGGAGGCAAAGACACACGTGAGCCGCTCAGAGCAGAACAGAACCACGGCAGGCACAGGGAGTCACCTCCCGAGACCTCCTGGGGCAGCAAGAGCAGGAGGGCAGACAACGCTGGAAAGCCCTGGAAAGCCCTGGAGAGCTCCGTGCAGGCCCCTGGGCGTGGCGCTCACTCAATCCGCCAACCCACAGTCACCACACTCGCCCTGCACAGGGGGACACTGAAGGCCAGGGCTTCACATCCAAGGCCACTTGACCAGTGAAGGAGAGAGCTGGCTGTGGGTGTGGGTCTGTCCCTAGAGCCACACTCACACCCCTAGGTCAGACCAGCCCCCCTCAGATGCCCCTTGACAGCCTCCCCTTGAAACAGACAAGCCAAAAGGCTCAGAACAGGCCCTCCTTGGTCAAAACTAGAGCATTTTCTTTCATAACCTCCAGGGAATCATTTCAATGATGATGTCATCTGTCCCTTGTTGAATGTCTGCTAAATACCAGATAATAATACACACTTTTTCTTTCATTCCCTCAAAACCCTTGAGTTCATATTATTACACTTATTTCAGAGATGTGAAAAATAAAGCTCAGCAAAGTTAAGTTGTTAATCTAAGATCCCACAGCTTCGAACCAAAGGAGCTGGCATTCACCCCCAGGTATGCTGGGGACACCAAGCATGCTTTCCAGGTGACCAGAACCTGAGAGCTTGGGAGGGGGAGTGACCTCACACGAAGCAGACCCTCCCACCCAACACCCCAAGTGCCGGGGTCAGCACTCGGCCACATTTCCTGCGTCCTACAGGGTGTCACTACAGCGGGAGCTCAGGACAGCTAGTCGTGGACACAAGCCAACCAGCAGATGGCATCAGCTACTGAGCCTTCAATCAAAACAAGAACTCCCAGAAGTCAGTCCGCCTCTCTGGGTGCCCTGCAGCTGCACCCTGAATGCAGGGTGTGCTCTCGGCTCGGGGAGTAAGCCCACAGGGCACCTCCTCAACCACACACCGTGGGAAGCCACAGCCAGGMGGGTCCTAAACACCTCAGCAGCAGACACAGAAGACAGCACAGATCGTAGGCAAAGCCACAAACTGGCAGCAGCCAGGAATCACCATTCGTTCCCTACTCCCCGTCAGTGCCATGAAGGGTCCTCCCCGTCAAGGTCTGCCAGGACGCCCTTCTGGAGTAAGCAACATACCACGTACCCACGCTCAGTGAGACCACACTGTCCGCCAAAGCACGGCCGCCTAAGGACGGTCACTATCTGAGAAGGCTTTAGCGGCAACGGCGACCCTCTCAGGCCAGAACGTCCTGTCAGAGCATCARTACACCCAGCTTCAGGAAGGTGCCCAGAGCCACCATTCCACCTTTTCCTACTGCACACAGAGCGGGGTCTGACACAGCGGGGGACCAGGGAGCCACAGGCACAGCCCTTGACAAGTGGCTGACAGTGACAAGTTGGGGTGATGGACAGCTGTAGGCACAGACAGCACAGCCAGAGTCCAGAGGAGGMCGTCCATTCTGGGCAAGAGGGAACTGGGAAAGGTCTTGCAGAAGAGGGAACGTGGGCCAGGTCGTAACAASTGGACAAGTACCCCCAAACCCGGGCGGCAGGGACGGGCAGCAACCCAGGCAGAGGAGACGGCCCCCACAAAGGCACAACGAGGACAGAGAAACCGAGGGAGTGAGCCTAGCTGGGGTGGGGCAGGGCACGTGGAGACCCAGGCTGAGGAGTCTGTATCCCTGAGTGGAGGGACAGGGAGCCACTCGAGGGACTGCAGAGGAATGGCTCCCCAGGCCATCAAGGTGGCAGAGAAGCCAGCAGAGGTGGTGTCAGGCCAGCTCAGACACCACCCGCGCCCAGAGGCCCCCTAACCCTGACCAGGTGGGACCCCTTCCTCATCCTGCACTGACATCAGCCTACTAGGTGCGTCTGACTGGCTGACCCATGGGCTCCACTGGGCCAGGACCAACCTGTACCTGTCACTGCAGCCTCAGAGAGGCTAACCCAGGGAGAACAGAAGGCAACCACTAGGGACAGGTGGCCCTGGGGACAGAGGAAGGAGACAGGTAAGAGAGGTCAGCACCGAGCCTGGGGCCAGGAACTTGGACCCTGGGACTCCAAAGCCATTTACGGAGACACAAAGGGAGGGCAGGAAAGATGCCCAGGTTCAGGCTCCCGCGGGCCAYTCGGGCAGAGGCCAGGCCCACGCTGCCAGCTGGGAGGCAGCCCAGGCGCGGTCAGCCCAGGCGCGGTGGACCTTCAGCAGGGTGGACCTTCAGCRTGGTGAGCTCTGCCCCCTCCAGCCACCCTGCTGCATGCGCTGACACCCGGGCCTGGGATGGCCTGGCACCACAGGACAACCCCCTTCACCTGCGGCCGGGGACGGTCTGCAGTGGGAGCAAAGGGTATGGGAGTGACCTCTCCCACCACGGCCCTGAGCAGCCTTCATGCCCCCACCCCTGCTCTCTTAGCCACAGAAAAGGAGGCGGTGGAAGGGGACTTGGAGAAGCCACTCAAGCCCAGCTTGCCAGTTCCCTGGTGAACAACGCAGGACTGACGCGTTTCCTGCTTTCCCAGGGTGCTTCGGAGGTGTATGGAGACAGGTGTTCTGGACCAGCAGGCTATGAACGCAATACACTGCAACCACCTCTTCAAACCCTTAAAACTCCTGGAGCACCCCGTCACCTCCCCGTCACCCCATCACCTCCCCRAGCACCATCCACACCCGTTTTCCCATCTAACGATGGATTAAGGTTAAATTAAACAGTCGTTACCTCCCAATGGATGCGATGTTACCAAAGGTGTAAAAGACCGCGAAGAGGGTYAGTCCCTTCTTGGGCACCCACAGCAGCAGAGTCCCCTGGAAGTAAAAGCACAGCACTGTGTCAGAGTGCCTCTCCCACCACAGCCCTGAGCACCCTTCATGCCCCCACCCCTGCTCTCTYAGCCACAAATTTGAGAGAATAAAAGAGAAAAGGAGGCGAGTGGAAGGGGGGACTCAGCAAAGGAGGTTCAGGGGGATCTTACCAGCAGGGAGCAGAGAATCCCGAAAGCAAAACACGCGATGAAGCCTTTCACCCTGGTGCCCCAGCTTAGCGAGGAGGCCTCCACAACCTGGAATTCAAACACAGTGACACAGAGGCACACGAGGACCTACCAAAGTCACTGCAAGCACAAAAATTAGAAGTGGCATTAATCTGTGTCTAGGAAGGCAGGAGAGACAGGATCCCATGTGCCCACAGCTACAGAAGGGCCTCGGTCCAGCTCTCCTCGGGGCTGCACACCCTCAGACCAGTCTCCTCTCCAGTAGCTGCCAGGAGTGTCCTGTGCCTCAGGGGAGCATCTCCAGAGACAGCGATTCCTGTCTCAACAAAGCCAGCAAAGCCAAGTGCAGCCAAAGCCTCCCACATCCAGCAGCAGGACCACAGCTGGAAAGGCATGAGATCCACCAGACAGGGCCCCTCCCCTTGGGCAGCAGGGTCACCCTCCCCTTGGTCCATCAGCCCAGCTGCAGCAGCTGCTGCTCCTGAGGCACTGGGACTTGGAGTGCAAAGGCCGCCACCCTCACCAGGACTCATCTGCAACGTTCCGCTCTCTATATACAACTGTAGACGTTGTTGTAGTCACAGGGTGGGGGACAGATCATCAATGCCATCGCGATTGGTCCCCTTCCAGAGCAAAGTTCAGGGGAAGTCAAGGTTCCCGAAAAACTCAGCTGAGTCAGGACCTTGGAGCAGCTCCCAACCCTTCTCCTGATGCAAGAGGGCAAGCCCCTTCACAGCTGGACACAGGCAGCTGCCACCAGAGACCAGACCATGGCAGGGCAGCAGAGCTGAGTGTATCCACACAGTGCTCCCCTGTGGGGCCAGGGACTCCACCCAAAACAGAGGTGAGGGTGCCTCCCACACTTCTACCCCTCGTGTAGGCAGGCAGGTGGCGGCAGAGGCTGCAGGGATCTCTAGACGGGCCAGGCCCTCGGTCTTGATTCCCTCTGCTCAGGGACCTGCTTTCAACCTGTCAAACCAGAAGCTTGAGGAGAAAGAGCAAAGGCCCCCGGTCTGGCAGGTACTACTACAAATGGCTTAATTGTCACTCGGGAAGATTAAGTTGATGCCATCAGAAGGGTCCTCTTCCCACTCCCAGGCAGTCACATGACTGAAACTGGGCTGGTGACCGCACCACACAGAGCACTCACAGAAACCTGCAGCAACATAGGACCTGCAGAGGCACAGCTGGCCTGGGACACACAGCAGGAAGCCCACACTGGGACCTGACAGAGGAGCCACCTGTGCCCATGCTGGGGACACCCCTCCTCCTCCAGGAGTCCACGTCTTCAACTCCCTCTGGCTCCAAGGTGAGGTGTCTGGGGCTCTGCCACCAGGCTTCACTGGGCCCAGACGATCGAGTTAGACAACTTCTAACTCACCCATGACACCACCCTCCATGGTGAGAATACATGACACTCCACACTCCTCCTACCAGCGCAAAACCCCCAGAACTCGCCTCCCCAGGGGGAGCAGGAGCAAGGAAAGGGCCAGGAGGCTCAGGGGGATTTGCCCCCTCCACCAAGCACCACTCAGCATCCACAGGGATGTTCCAAAGGATCCCACCTTGTTTTATCAAGAGGATAAACCACAAGGTTAAATGTTAGGTTTGAACTGGCCTCGACATTCAGACAGAACTGAAGAGACTCAGGAGGTCGGTAAGATTCCAGCCCTTGTAAAACTCAAAGCACTGGCAAGAGAAAGTAGTTCTGCCGAAAATCTGTTTCTGGTTCTTCCCTTCAGGATGGAGAGTGACACCTGGTCTCCAGGTCCCTCAGGGGACTCTATCTTTTTACTTTTTTTGCCAAAATGGGTGAGTGGGGGTGAATTTTCACCACTGTTTTCCATGGCCTGTGGCTGCAAGTTCTTTCCCCTGCACATTTGCTGCTCTGCTTCTCTTAAGTGGATTCTGAAAGCAGACTCACTCCCCTTCCGCCGTGTGTGAAAGCAACTGTCTCTCTGGAAGCTGTGCTCGCCGGCTTCTCTGGAAGTTAGAGCAACATACACGGTACCTGGAGAGAGGCTGCAGGCAACCTGCTCACTCAGTGCCAGCAGCTGGACAAAGGTCCCTTTGACTCCAGGTTGTGGAGAAAAGAGGGCTCTGGCCAAGAAATACAGCCGAGAGCCGCTCAGGGAGATGGGCCTGCCAACAGCAGGGAGCGGCCTTCCCCTGTTTTAAGGTCGGGGCCATTCATTCCTCCCTTGCCCCGGAATCCTTTGCAGAAAACACAAAACCTACACTCGCAGAAAGAAGTCCACTGAGGCCAGGACTTGAGGTGTGTTTTTGAAGGCGAGGCATCAATTAGAGAACTGGCCAGGAGGCTCCTGATGAGACACCCACGTGATCTTCACAGCTCCCTGGAGGAAGGGGACCAGAGCAGGGCCACTCMCGCTCTTTTGTGATTTGCATTTAAACAATTAAAAAAACTAGAACACCTCTGGTGACTTCTGACAAGTCAAAAAATTGGATTTGAAAAGATTTTTAAGGCCACCTAGTCCAACTCACCACACGAAACAGAAACCTCACCACAGAAACCTCCATCACTGCCAGCCTCAAAATCATGGAAAGTGTGAGTTGATCACATTTTTTTCCCAGATTTTAAAAGACGCCCTGTCCTGATAAGTGAAAACTAAGCCAAAACAGCTCTAAAAACAACTCAGTTGGCTAAAAATGCTTCCAGGGCTTCAGGCCTCCGGAAGCGCCACACCATGATGCACATGAACAGGAATCTCACTCAGAAAGAGGAAACTGAACAAAACAAGAGCACCTAATCTTTCACAAACAAATGCAGCTTGTGCGACGCAGCACTCAGCACCTAGGACAAAACCCAGGCACTGGTGTCTCTCAGATGCACGCCTCAGGGGCGCCACAGGCCTCCTGCTGCTCCCTGAGGATTTCCTGAACCATGTGCCTCACTGTCCACACTGCACCCAGAGTCCAGCAGCCCGGGCTGCTCCAGAGCTTGTCCACAGCCTACCCGGCGCACGTCTGCAGATGAGCATGAGGATCAACCACCAGGGCAGAGCTTTGTTGGGCCCTGTGAGGTTCCCCTTGGTGCATCTTGGCGTGGCGCTTCCGGAGTGCTGAAGCCCGGTGGTTCCTGGCCAAGAAATACAGCTAAGAGGCCAGAAATCAAGAAAAAAGGACACAGGAAGGTACTCCTGAGCCTTGGCCAGTTAACAAAGGCACCAATTTAAGAACCCACCCAGCTTTTTGTGAAGTGTCCAAAAAACAACACAATGGACCCACGTTCCTCTAACAGGGGACTCCTGGAGAAGATTCGGGAAGCGCGTTTTACACTGAGGTTCCCTGGAGAGGGCGCAGGTACCCACAGCAAACCACGCACCGGCCGCAGGGAGGAGGAAATCGCGCTGCTGCAGCCGGGCGGAGCGCGCCCACCACCGCCCTGGCCTTCACACCGAAAGCCCGAGTCGGTCTTCCAGCGGGAAACCGAAACAGAGACCCCMGCCCTGCGCGCTGCCCCGACTCGGGCCTAGTGCGGGCCTCGGCTCCGTCGAACCCTTTGGAAGAAAACAACAGGCCGGCGTCTCCCGAGGGACGCAGTCCACGGAGAGGGGCGCGGGCTGTGGACCGAGCCGCCGGAGGGGCTGGCCCCGTCCCGGGAGTTCTCGGCTTCACCGCGCACCAGCTTCGCCACCGCACGGGTCGGTGGGCGTGGCGCCGCCCGCAGCCGACACCCGCCGCGGCCGSGCCCCCAGCCCCTCCGCGGCCTCGGCCCCGCGAGGACTCGCCGCCGGCCGCGCCGCGCTCCCGGCTCAAGACCGGGCGGAGGGCTGCAGGGGCGCGGGCGCCCAAGGACGCGGCTGGGCGCACCTGCGGCGGCGGCGCGGCGGCGGCCCGGCGGGGCCCGCGGGACAGGAGGGACTCGGAGCAGGGCAGCCTCCCAAGAAGCCCGGAGGCCTGTGGCTCCCGCCCGCGTCCGCAGGGCCAGCGGGGCGCGGGGGGCAGCGGGAGCACTCACCTCCGACAGGCCGCTGCGGTCCTCCGCGTCCTGCCCGCTCAGCACCTTCTTCAGCTTGTCCATCCCGAGCCCGGGCCGCGCCGGCTCCAGACGCGGCGGCCGCCTGTTGCGCTCACTCCGCCAGTGGCCTTCCGGGTGCTGGGCCGCCGCCCCGCCCCGGGCCTGCCCACCTGCTGCCCGGCGTGCCCCGCGGCCGCGCCGCCCCAGGGCCTGCCCACCTGCCGCCCAGCCTAGACGCCAGCCCACCTGCCGCCTCGCCCTGGGACCTGCCCACGTGCCTTCAGCCTCGCCAGGAGCCACCTGCCGGTCGCTTCGCCCCGGGACCGGCCCACTTTCCTTCAACCCCGCCCAGACGCCTGCCCACCTGCCTTAAGCCCCCCCCCAGGGACCTGCCCACCTGCCTTAAGCCCCGCCCAGGAGCCTGTCCACCTGCCTTAAGCCCCGCCCAGGCGACTGCTCCCCTACATCTGGCCCCGCCCAGGGACCTTCTCACCGGCCTAGGCGCCCACCTGCGTGTGCCCTGTGCCCGCCCCGCCCACCCCGTCGCGGCTGAAGAGCAGAGGTTAAAGTTGAACTGGCTTGGCCAAAAGCCAAGTCTGTCCAGCGCCTTGTTCCAAACCTAAGCTGGCTGCCCTCCTTCGTGCAGTCTTGTGAACAAATGCTGCGGTTAACCCGGTGTGTCCCATCTTCCCAGATGTGAACACTGGAGACTAACAAATTTAATCTGTTACAAGCTTTGAGGAAATGTAAAATTTAAAAAAAATGATTTTAAAAAGCAACACCACTATAATTCCAGCTACAAATGCATTAAGAGGTTTGCTTTGGTTAAAATTGGGGAACCGATGGAGTAGAACTTGGCTGAGAGAAGGAATCTTCAATACAAGACCATAAAACATCACATTCTATCTATGTGAAATATCCAGAATGGATAAATTCATACAGACAGAAAACAGATTGGTGATTCCCAGGGGTTACAAAAGGGAAGAAGAGAAACTACTTATTGTGTCTTATTCTGTTCAGTGCTATAACAAAACACCATAAATGCGTGGGCTTATAAACAACAGACATTTCTTGCTCATGGTTCTAGAGGCTGGAAGTCCAAGCTCAGGTGTCCAGCACCGTGATGTCTGGTTCGTAGGTGTCCTTCTTCTCACTGGGTCCTCACAKCGTGGAATGGTGAAGGAATCTCTCTGGAGTCTCTTTTCATAAGGCACTAATTCTTCATAACCTAATCACCCCCACGAGTCCCACCTCCAGACAAATCACARTGGGAATTACAGCATTCAGGCTACAGCACTGGACTGGACTTTGGAGGGCTGGAAACGTGTTGAACTAGACAGAGGTGGAGACAGCACTCCACTGTGAGTGACCTAAATACCACTGAATCGTTCCTTGTGAAATAGTTATGCAAATTTCACCTCCATAAATGTTTAAAGAGAAGAGATGGGGAGGAGAGGAAGCCACCGGAAGGAAGGGAGAGAAGGGGTGGCCTGGCAGTGCCACCACCACAGCAGGCCAGGTAAGAGAACACCTCRCAGGGAGCAGCCTGTGCCAGGGAAGGGTGGAGGCCCAAGAGGTCCTGGGAGAGGGAGCCACACAGGGCAGTCACGCTTCCTCTGGCTGCCGGGCTTCTGCCCTTAACACGGGCACCCCGATGGGAGCAAGCTCCAACCCCACCACCAGTCCTGTGGGGCCTGGAGCAGTCACTCACACTGCCACCCTGCCCTCCTCACCCACTCCTGGGAGGCCTGGACAGCCCCGCGCTCCAGACCCCGGCCTGCACACGGTCCACCCCATCCACCTGTCTCGAAAGTTCTGTGACCCCCATGATGGCCAGATGGCTTCTCTCCTTTTAAATGAACACAAGGGCTAATTATTCTTCCAGGAATTGGGAGCTGGGCCTCGTCCCCTCTGAAGACTACAGACCCACCGCTCCCTGAAGCCCCATTCTGTAGTTCCTTGGTGGCAATTCTCTCCCAAAGGCCAGTGGACACCTCCCTCACCAGGGCAAGAAAACGCTCTCCAGCGGCCCCCACTGCACAGCCCCCCTGCACCCCTGCCTGCCTGCCTGGTCTGTGCCCATCATGGGCCGCCCACATCAAACCCTGCGTGTGCAAGGGAGATCCCCTTCACTGTCACCTCCCCCTCCGTTCTTTCTCAGCCCCACGTCACTTGCTCCATGAAGGAAGACTGCAGTCCTTCCTGAATGGCCTCCCGCCTTCACCCTGCCTCCACCACAGCTTCATCATGGGCCACAGTCAGCTAGTCCCACTCCTCACTTAAAACCTTGGCTGTCACTGAAGGCTGGCCTGGAACCCTTCGAATGCCGCACCCCGTGATTTAGGCATTGTTTTGCTCATAATTGCTCAACTAACACTTACAAGTGGAATTTAAACACGTTAAAATTTCAAATGTATTCATGCATATCAAGTTCAGATCTCCAGTCATTGGTGTGCACTGGGAGCCCAAGAGAATGGGAGTCGCAGGATTTCAGCATTGATCGTACTAGGAACCAAGAGTCCTTCTGGTGCTGTCCRCAGACCATCTCGGGTTAAGAGCTTCAGAGGCAGTGGGTGGAAGTCTCCTGTCCTGGGGTCACACATGTCTCTCCTGCTTGTCCTTTCACGGCTCAGGTTTAGATTGCTCCTCTGCAGCTGGAAAAGCAGAGGCTATTGTCCTAATTGAGTTTTCATGAATGACGACGCGGGGTCTTGACCAGTTAAAGCACTTCCTCCGGGTCTCTGAGGCTCTCCCCTAACCTGGAATCCTCCAGAGGCTGTTGTGGAAGGCTGGCTGGTGACGATGCTGTTTGAACCAGGGCCGGRCAGTAGATGTGAAGAAACGACCCTAGTTTCTTTTCATACATGCTTAACCGCGCAGCTTCCCTCAGTGATTCATGAAATACCAACCTTTCCCCAGTCTCTCCTAGGAACACAAGTCCAGTTGTCCCAGGACAACACACTTGTCACTGAGGCCTGTACTTACCTATAGGCCTCAGATTGTCCCACACAGGAGAGGAGCCTGATCCGTTTATACTCCCATCCACTGTGAATATCTCTGGGGATGTTTTGCTGCAAGTTTACCACACCTTGAGAGAATGAAAACAGGGCAATGGTCTGGTCACACTTGGCTTTTCAAAGGTCCTTCTGGGGATGGTGTGGCACAGAGGACCCCCTGGAGACATTTATGAAACCTACTTGAACTCGCACGGTAGAACAGGGCCTGGAGGGAGCTGGGCACTTGCACTCTGTATACCGTCTTGGCCTGATTTTGGACTCAAATGCAAACACTGGCTGCTCTTGGCTCTCAAGCCTGCTGGACYGTGGACTGGAACTCACACCACCAACTCTCGGGGCTCTCAGGACCACAAACRCTACGTCATAGGCTCCCTGGGTCTCTCGTTTGCTGACTGCAGACTTCTCAGCCTCCATAACACAYGAGCCAATTCCTTATAACATATGGTGATAGATACTCTTCCTTAAGTAGCTCCAATTTCTGATATATCATTTTTATTTATTTATTTTTTACTCCAAGAACTTTTTAACATTTCTTATAAGGCAAGACTCCTGACAAATTCCCCCAACTTTTGTTTTTCTAAGAAAGACCATATTTCTTCTATAATTCTGAAGGCTAATTTGAAAGGACATAGAATTGCATGTTGTCATTTTTTTTTCTCTCAACCATAAATATTTTATTCCACTCCTTGCTTGCATGGTTTCTGAAAAAAAGATTGCAAATTTTATCTTCACGGTAGTTATCTTTTTCCTCTTTCAAGACTTTTAAAATATGGCAGGCCTGGTTGTAGTCTTTTGGCATTTATCCTGTGAGGTACTCTCTGAGCTTCCGGGAGCTGTGCTTTGAGATCTACATTTGTCTGAAGGCCCAATCCTTGTTGCTTTAATCATTTCCTGTTCCTTCCTTTCTGTGTTCTTCTGGTATTCCCGTTATGCTCACGTTACGCCTCCTGCTGTAGAAGGCTGTCCTGCCACCTGGGATGGTCTGTGGATACTTCCCTCTCTTTTATTCTTTTTCTGCTTTGGAAATCCCTGTTGACATGTCCTCATGTCGGGGACATGTTCAGGGATCTTTTTCCCAACCATGTAGTTTGTTTTCAGTTGTGATTCTCTACTCACCTGGAGGTCTCTCCAGTTCTGGGGGTAGCAATTTGCCTGTGACATCACTTTGAATCCAAGAGTGGTTGGTTTTTCAGTTGGTTCGGTTTCCCTTGTTAGCATAGAGTGGGGACTGCCCAAGTCCATACAGGCGGACACTTATTCCATTGTGTTCTTGCTTGGATAGTTCCTACCAAGAAGTCTGCTTAACTGTTTCTCTTCCTGCCTATAATGATTCTTTTTCTTCTGTCATCAAGACATTTACCACTACTTTGGTCTCAATTGTTTGACTTATGGTGTGTGGGACTTGTGTGAAATTCTAGCACCTACAACTTCTTTCACCTTGGACAGTTCTTGGCCATTCTCACTTGGTATTTCTTGCCCTTGCCTGCCGGCTTCCTCGGGGACTGATTTTAAACATGGACTATTTACTTTGTCCCACAGTTCTCTGATGCTCTGTGCTGTTTCTCCACCTCTGCTCTCATCCCTCGCTTTAGATAATTGTTAGGAACCTTTAAGTTTGCCAATTGTTTCTTTAGCTGTAACAAGTTTTGTGAAGGATTTTCCCTGATATAGTAGACTTGCTTGGTTTATTTTTCTAATTTCCATTTKACTCTTTTCTTATCCATTTCTCTGCTCAAGTTTCTAGTTTCTGATTTCTCACTAGATATATTAATATACATCTTAAATTCTAATAGTGCAATATCTGTTTGACCTCTGAACTGGGTTTTTATATTAAAAGCYAGACATCACGTGTGTAACAGAAGGAACGATGCCAACTGTTTATAACTGGCAATGTGTCCCCTTCTGTCAGATCACTGGTTTGGGATCACTGATGCAGACAGGAGTTCAGTGGGTTGGGACTGGACTGTTGCAGGCTTCAAATCCCTTCAGAGGCTGACAGCTTCACCTCGTGTTTACAGCACACCTGGAGGGTAGGAAGATTGATGCCCACCACAACTTTCAGGGATCCCTGCATCCCAGAGGGTCCTAATTACACTCTTGGTGCTCCTCATTACCTAGGGCACAGGCTCATTCAGG